TATTAAATTAACATTGCCTATACCAACAATGTCATGACCCACAAAGCTGGAGTCAAAAATACACCTGATGGACTATTTTACCACAAAACACAGGGAACAATGCAGGCAAGGAAAGGGGATGGTTGAGGGAGACAGAGGAAGATCTATATCTGCAAAAAAAAAAAAAAAAAAAAAAAACCCAGAAAAGAGGAATAAAAAAACACCAAAAAAACCCAGAAAAATAATATATTATCTAAAAACATATATACATATGGTTATACAAAAAATAATCATTTTGACTAAACTAGAATACCAAGGCAGTGTCATGGAAATTAGGTATAGAATAAAGGATGTCAAGATTACAAAAAAACGCACAGGAAAGAGTTATATATATTAGCAATACTCCAGGATTGGGCAAATAGAAGGTCCCTGATGTTTTTAATGAAAGAAAGTCCAAGTACGAATATTAGAAATTTGAATTTGAAGGGATACATTGAAGGACAGTGAGCATATTTAGTCCACAGACTCATGAAATTTGCTGTGGGCTTTTGGAAATATTTCAGAGCTAAGTATAGGGACATTTATTTATTTGGGACATACACCCAGAACACAGTTTATGAAAATCTCAAGGGATTGCAAATAGCTAAAATTTTAAAATATTGGTAGTAAAATTTGAAGATAAAACAAATGTTAGATTAACAAATATCTATTATATAAAAATATCATCATACAACTTCATTATAATATTTCAGAACAATTTAATCATATGTATATTATATCTATGTTTACCTTGGAACCATGCTCAAGAATGTATAATATTTGCAGCTATGTTATTGTGAAGGATAAATTCAGTGAAATAAAGCCAAACAATTTCCAAAAATTACACAAACTTAAACGTAGGGATGAAATAGGTATACTGAATAACACAAATATATATATTTTAAATAGATATGAAAATGTTGCAAGACCCAAGGAACTAAACTATCTCAGGACCCTGAGGATCGTAAAATATTCTTTATATATTCCTATAACTAAAAGATAAACAAAGGAGGGATGTAATAATTCCAACAGTCAGGAAGCATAGATAGTGTCCAGATAGAACTGATCTTCTAAAATAATTCCTTCAAATTTACTATAGCACACACATGTATTTAATTGTAGGTACCATAATATGTGGGATATGTTAGAAATAGCAAGACAGAAGTTTTTAATAGGTAAAAAATATAACACTCAAAGAAAAATTATTTAGTATCCTGTAAATTGGGTCAGGATACAAAAATCATAGCATTGTAAATAAGTGCCTTAGTCTTATTTTTTAAAAAAGATGTATTTATTTTCATTTGAAAGAGATTTACAGAGACAAGGAGAGAAAGAGAAGACTCTCCATCTATTGGTTCATTCCCAATTGACTGCAATGGCTGGAGCTGAGTGGATCTGAAGCCAGGAGCTTCTTCCGGGTCTGCAGGATCCCAAGGCTTTGGGCCATCCTGTTTCCCAGGCCAAAGTAGGCAGCTGGATGGGAAGTGGAGCAGCAAGGATAGGAACTGGCACCCACATGGGGTCCTGGTGCATGCAAGGCGACAACTTTAGCCAATTGGCTACTTTGCCAGGCCTCCAGAATAATCTTCATGTTATTCAGGAAAGAGAGGGGCAAAGGAACTGAGCAGAAATTTTTCAAAAGAACAGATTCAAATGGCTTACATATGAAAAGATACTCGGGCTCCCTAGCCATCAGGGAGATACAAATGAAAACCTCATTGACGTACCACATAACTCCAGTGAGCTTGGCCTACATTCAGAACTCTACTAACAACATCTACTCATGTAGGAGTGGGGAGAAAGGCATCCTCTTTCACTGCTTGTGGGAGTGCAGGCTAGTACAACCACTATGGAAACCAGTATGGGGAATGCTTAGAGAATTGCAAATAAACCTGCCATATATCCAGTTATTGTACTCTTAGGAATATATCCAAAGGAGATGAAAACTGCCTATGAGAATGGGATTTGTAATCCTATATTTATAGTAGTATAGTCTACAATAGCAAAGACATGGAAACAATCCAGATGCCCATCCAAAGAGGAGTGGTTAAAGAAACTGGTACATCTAGCCCATGGAATATTACTCAGCCATTAAAAAGAATGACATTACATCATTTGCAATTTGATGGTCCCAAATATAGACCATTAAGCTCAGTGAAATAAGTCAATCCCAAAAGGACAAATACCATATATTCTAATATAAAGCAGCCAACTTGCAAAATTTAATGTCAACGACCCTTTCCATACTGTTTTTGCTGCATCCCATCAGTTTTGATGTTTTTATTTAATTTTCATTTTTTCCAAATGGTCACTTTTCTCTTGTCATTGCTGGCTCATGGGTTGTATGGTGGCATTATTTTACCCAAGATGCTTTTGTGTTTTCTTTTCATCACCGATGAGTTGGTTATTCAGTGGCACACTTTTTCGACTCCATGCTGCTGTATATTTTTTGTTATTGTTTTAACTTCATACCTGTTGTTGCCTTTGTTTTGTGGTTGTCATTTAAGGGACTGTATAGTGATGGTGTAGTAGAGACTACCATATCGGATGTAAAGATATAATGCAATATGTATCCCTACTTCCAAGTTAAAGAAGGACTCCCAATAAACTGTTGGACATCTAGACAATGGGATGCTGGACTGTCTGACATTGTACAAGCAATGTTGGGGCACACTTAAATAATAGACTGATGTAATTATAACGTTTTATAAAGGACTATACTATTGTAATAATATGGGGAAAATCAGTCAGGGGTGGGAATTTGATGGTGGTGGTGATTCCCAGACCTTATGGAATTATACCATAAAATTAAAGAAAAAATAAGGGAAGCAGAGAGAGAGCAAGTGAGATAGAGATAGATAGGTAGACAGATAAGATAGATAGATTGATTGATTTTCCACCTCCTACTTCATTTCCCAGATAGCCATAATGGCCAGTGCTGGGCCAGGCCAAAGCCAAGAGCTTTATCTGGGTCTCCCATGTTGGTGACAGGAGCTCAAACTCTAGGGCCATCCTATGCTGCTTTTTCCAGGCCATTTGCAGGGTGCTGGATTAGAAAGGGAGCAGTCAGGAAACATGAACTGGACTGGCACCCATAAGGAATGCTGGCCTCTTAGGCCTTTTCCTGCTATGCTACAATAGAGAGCTCTCACTCCCCTCCTCCCTTCAGTCATCTCTCTATCCTTTCTTCTTTTCCTTCTCCTCCTCTCCTCCTCTTCACCTTTTCCCACTGCCCCCCTTCTTCCTCTTTCTTTCTAAAACCTTATTTTGGAAGGCAGAATAAGAGAGACTGGCTTCTTTCACTTATCAATATGCCCCTAAAGATCTTTCATGTCTTTTTATGGCTTGATTTTTTTATCATTACACAATATTTCAGAGTATCAATGCACCAGTTTGTTTTTTCTCTCACCTACTGAACTACTTGGTTGCCTCCTGCTTCTGAATATTATTATTAAAGCTACTATAAGCATTCATGTTCTGGTTTTTGTGTGCAGAGAAGCTTTATGTTCAATCTGATAAACAGCTAATGGCACAATTGCTGGATTTTATTTTAAGAATATGTTCAGTTTGTAAGACATTTGTCAAATGGCCTTTCAAATTGTCCATTTTTTTGTTTCTCACTAGCAATGAATGAGTGTTCTGGTTGCTTGTACACTTGTCAGAATATATTATTGTCACTGTTAATTACCGTATATATGACACTACCTCCTAAACGCTAAACAAAATCCATTTTTACATGAGCAGCTGAAAAACTCAGGTCCATAAACTTTGGCTAGTGCTAAGATTAATATATTTGGGAAAGTGATGCAGCTTTTGGCAAACAGATCTAACAGATGACATATACATTAAATGGCAAAGAAACGAATAGCAATTTTGTTATTCAGAGAACGTGACTTAAGTGAAAAAAAGTTAAGAGGATAAGGTTGGAAGTATATAACAAAAATAGTTTTCCCTTTAATTCAGTGAGGCCATATGAGAACATGGTTTTTGAACACTTCATATACTTAGATCACTTTCATTTGGAATTGTCCTAACCCCTGTGTTATAGGAACAGGCAAGAAAATGTTTCAGGGTTTCATTTTTATGCAGCAAATTTAATTACCAGGAAGTTACAGATAGAGCATACTAAACTATCCATTCCTACAGCATCTAAAATATTTTTTGAGATTTTAACATAGTTAGGATGAATCATTAAAATTCAGTATTAAAGGAATATTATAAAATACAGGGTTAATATTCTATGTAAGTACATATTTAAAGAAAGTTTCACAAATAGAAAGGTTTAAAGTTATAAAATTTTATGTGAAGAGAAGTTATAAATTTGTTTTAATAGTTTTTCAAGACTTAATGATGAATTTAAAATATTTTTCAATGTAGCATAAAATGTTTATCATCAGTTACAATTGAGCTAGTTGTATTTTTATCATTTTCTATATATTCAAGAGCTATTTTGTCAACAATAATTTTCAAAATAATTACATAGAAGAACAAAGTATTGGATTATTGTATATACTAATGGTGTTAAATAATGAGAGTACAAACTCCAGTTCTGCCATATACCATTTATATGAACTAGGAGAAATAACATACTTTCTCTGTGCTTCAATTTCTTCATTTGTCAAATAGGGTCTTCCTCAGCCCCTGCTTCACAGTCAGTGCACACCTGAAAAGTCTGTGGCATGTGCTATGAACAAGTTCAATGAACATAAGCTATTGCTCTTGTTATTACTCTAGAAAGTCAGGAATGGAGTTCTAGAGAAGAAATCCAGGTATCTGATACAGATACCATTTTCTGCAAAATAAGAACTTATGAGTTTGTACTTCACATATTTAATGACTACTTTTGCTTGGATTATGCATGACCCTGGCTGAGTAAATAAGCACATTAATAATCTTAACTTCCAGTGTGATAGAAATAACAAATATTTTTTCTTTAAAAATCTTCAGTGTTGAGTGAATAGCTGACATGTGCTTCTTTGCAGATATCATGGAAATCAGGACTGTGGCAGTTGGAATTGTGGCAATCAAAGGGGTGGAAAGTGAATACTATCTTGCAATGAGCAAAGAAGGAAAACTCTACGCAACGGTACTGATAATGATGGCTCAGCCTTAAGTTTTTGAACTTTTGTTTTTTTTTTTAATCAAAATATCTTGCCTTCAAATAAACTAAAACTGGAATTTTTTTTTCCAATGAGGGAGTTTAGTGATTTAATTATAATGACTTACACTAAATCATTCTCATTTTTTTTTTTCCTATGTGACCATTGACAAATTGCTGTAGTTCTTTGGTTTCTGGAGCTGCAACAATGACTTGGTAACAATGACTGATCCGTAAGGATTCTTCCAGTTCTAAAATATCATATTCATTTTAGATACTGGATATCTAAAATTTCCATCTGTCAGTATCAAAACTCTTTTTGTTCAGGTAATTTGCACACTGCTGACATGAAAACTCTTGGGGGAAAATCATGAAGTGTTCGGTGCATTTATCAACATTAATCTCACAATCATAGACTTTCCTAAAACTCAGCATAATGCCTAACCCAGGCTAACTAAATAAAAATATGGGGTTGGTGGAATAAACGGATGATTGCATGGAAGAATATATTAAATATTTATTTACCATTGTAATCAATGTAGTAATTAATAAGAAAACTTGTGAAATCTGTCCCTTATCTGAGGGAGGCAAATAATCTGTTGACTATACCAGATATCCAATGGGTAGAGAATCAGTGATTCTGGCAAGGGAAAATGAGTGCTAGTTGGGAGGAAATATGTCCTCATACTAAAACAAAAACAAAACAAAACAAAAACATCAGAATTGCCAAAAAGCAACATTTTCAAAGCTCTTGTTGCATAAATAAATTTTGTATTATTTTATTTCATTTTTGAAACTTAAGATGTATTTTGGCAAAATACTACTAAGTATTAGACCTGTTTAATTGAAATTTTATAAGATCAATTATGGGGCTAGCACTGTGGTATAGCGTGTAAAGCCACCAGTTACTGTGCCAGCATCCCATATGGGTACTGGTTTGACATCTGGCTGCCTCACTTCTGACCCTGCTTCCTGCAAAACAGCAGAGGATGGCTCACGTTCTTGGACTCTTGAACCCATATTAGAGACCTGGAAGGATTTCTGGCTCCTGGCTTCAGACTGGCTGAACTCTGGCCATTGCAGCCATTTGGGGAGTTAACCAACAGATGGAAGATCTGTTTGTCCCTCTCTCTAACTCTGACTTTTAAATAAATAACAAATAAATTTTTAAAAACTTCATTTGAATATTACTTGCTTATTCTTTGTTTAGTTGTACCATTTAAAGGCTTTTGGATAATATTGTTTATTTGTTGTTTTAACAGAAAGAATGCAATGAAGACTGTAACTTCAAAGAATTAATTCTGGAAAACCATTACAATACATATGCATCAGCTAAATGGACACACAGTGGAGGAGAAATGTTTGTGGCCTTAAATCAAAAGGGGGCTGCGGTAAAAGGGAAAAAGACAAAGAAAGAACAAAAAACAGCCCACTTTCTTCCTATGGCAATAACATAATCATACACAGTATGTAAGAAACCAGTTCCAGCAGGGAGTTTCTTCAAGTGGACTGTTTTCTTTCTTTTTTTCTCTCTATTTTTTTGTTTCAGAAACCAAGAAAGGCTGGAAAACTACTGAAAAACTGATCAAGCTGGACTTGCGGATTTATGTTTATTTTAAGAGACTGCATTAAAGAAAGATTTGAAAAACTATACACAAAAATCAGATTTAGTAACTAAAAGTTGTAAAAAATTGTAAAACTGGTTGTACAATCATGGTGTTAGTAATAGTAATTTTTTCTTAAATTAATTTACCCTTAAAAGTGTGTTAGATTTGATTATCTGATAATGATTATTTAAATAGTCCTATCTGCTTATAAAATGGCTGCTATAATAATAAGAATAATGCAGATGATGTTATATAGATATTTCAGACCTAAAGGCTGCTGGATTGACTGTCAGATAATCAAATCAACATTAATTATGAAAGATGAGCAGTATTTAAAATTTGTTTTAGTTTAAAAAAAGGCCACTTAAACACTAATCAGAGAAAAAAGAATATCTTCAAAATTTCTGTTGTGGAATTGAGTCAAATAGTTTTAAAAATCATGAAATTAGTACATGATTGTGCCTATTAATAAGAACAAAATGCCTAATGCTGCTCAATTGAAAGCGGTTGCTAAAAGGATGTTTTCAAAAATCTTGTATATAGAATAACAATAATGACAATACTATATTTCATCTCACTTGCCACAACATAACATTTTATAACCTGTAAAAGTAAAATTCAGAAATCTTTTCTTCCTAATAACATAATCTGTCTTTCACATAACTCACATTCTGGAATATGTTCTTCCCACAAATAATCATGCTTTGTTTCTGTGGTTACAGCATTAAACTCTATTTTAAGTTGTATTTGAACTTTATTGTTTTGTTATTTAAGTTTATGTTATTTATAAAAAAATCCTTAATAAGCTGTATCTGTTTCATATGCTTTTAATTTTTAAATAACAAACTTTTTGACTCAAGTGCAAATTTCCCCTCCCCATGTGACTGACACCAAGTGTAACACACAGCACCTGGGCCAGCAAATCCTGGACGGCAGACAGAAATGACAGCCTGCAGCAGTGCTTATAACAGTGTCTTACAGGGAGCAGTACAAATACGTGAAAAATGCTTTGCCACATACTCTTGCCAACTAAACTGGATCATAGAAGTAACATCACTCTAGATAAAATAACTCGCAGATTTAAAAAATTACAGTTGAAAAATTTTCAATCTCTACAGATATCCTTCATCCAAAAGACGGCAGCATTGAATGTTATACATATAATTACATATTATATGTAATTTTTATATATAAATTATATATATATACATATATAGATTTTTTTTCCCTTCTGTGAGATGGCAAGAGCAAAATGCCCAAAACAAAGGATTTAGGACCCTGAGTAACACAAGGACTTGAGGGCAGACTAGGGATCACAGACATACCACAAAAAAAAAATGAGTTTTCACTTTAAAATTCTAACACTGACAGACCTTAGCATTGCTTTTACGGTCACCAAATGGAAGGTAAACATTTACTTAAATCATTGGGTGCCAATCATTGTACTTTAAATTCAAAACACTGGCATTAAAATCCTTCTCATAAATATTATTTGGTAATATACTTATAAGTGAGAGTTGCATGAGGAGGTTAGATGAACAGAAACCAGTTACTTGATCTTCTCATGGTTTATCTGCATTGCCAGGCTGCAAGAGGTTAGAATTCTTTGCCTTCCCTCAGATCTAAACTGGGGAAGAAGTCTTGAATGTGATTCCAAATTATCGCACGGCTTATAGGTCTTGCTGGCCCAGGTCCCTAGTTGAGGCTTTTGTGACTGCAGTCTATGAATATATTGAGGACAGAGGAGAACTGAACATTTTTCGTATTAACTTTCTTTGTGCCTAGAGGAGTATCGATAAAAATTTTTCCATAGAATCGAATATTTTAAAAAGTTCAAAACTATACTAATCTTAACTTCATTTAAAAAAGTTAACAGAGAACTATGACTACATAAAAACTTAAACAGGAATAGCATGTACATACAAACAAGACGCTAGTTATGGTAGCACCAAGTATTCCTTATCTATGGAGTTATAGTTATCACCAAATGATACAGCAGTGCAGAATTAGGTAAAAATCATTAATAGTAAGTGAGTTTCTGGTAGTCTAGGTCATTTAAAAGTCTTTTTAGGAACATATACTTTTAATTCTTTGTTTTACTCCTCTTTGAAACATATATTATGAAAATTTTAGACAGCAAAATGTGCTCTAGTTGCGTACACTTAAAATTATAGATTTCTAAAACTGTAAGAATTTTTAACCCTTTTACTCTTTTGTAGATCTGGAAACTCAGATTTTCTATAGCTAAATTTATGTAGCTGGATGGGTCACCAGAGTCTTGGTAATTTAATATATGCTATTAGATAATGATTATTAGCTAGTAGTCTTCTGTTTTTGCATTTTATTTCTATTGACACATGATCAAAACTTTTGTGAATCATTTCATACATAAGGACTAGACTATATTGTGATGATGTGACTTAAAAATATTCTAATTTCCAATCATGATTCTTATTTAACTCTTATATGTACCATTTATAAGTGAAAAACCTTGTGAACACTATCCGTATGAATAGAGTAACTCTAAAATGCTTTTAAAAGGGAAAGTAAGTTGAATGCAGAGGTTTCCAATCATCAGGAAAGAAAGAATAAAAATATGACCTGTTAATAAAATAAAAGATACTTTTGATGAAGTAAATGATTTTGACATCAAATATAATATAAATTGTCAGTCTTCAAGCTGGCTGTAAAATCAATTTAGTGACAGTAAAGAAGAGATGCTAGAGAAATGTCCTTAGAACTTCTATGTCCTAAGAGTTTGCTCTGCTGGCTCTCTGTAGTACCAAAGAAACAGATGGCTATCGGACCCAGCTGTAGTAAATGCAATTCCATAGATACATATTCTTTAAGTAGTTACTGTCACAATTTTTACTGAAACACGTATAACATTGAACATAGAATAAGTATAGCAAAGCATAGAACTATTGCTCTTAAAGAATAATGTATAGGTGTCCTGGCCAAAGATAAAAAAATTTCCTCACAATATCTTATGTCTTAAAATTCAAACAATTTTCTGCATTTTATACATTTGTGTTTGCACTAAAATAAAGAATGTCTGCAATTAATACCAGTGAGTCAAACTCATGCTTCAGAAGAACACACAAGATTTATCATGTGGCCTTATTTACACCCCTTCTTTATTTCCATATATTTGTCTTGCGTGAATATGAAACACAAAATCCTCTACCTCCCTTTCTTCAATTCTATAAATAAGTAACACGTGTCTAAATAAAAGTGAAACTTAAAATGAATTTACTATGTACAGGAATGGTATAAACATATTTACTGGCCCATATGAGTGGTTACTGGTCAACTGGAATTTATCACTGATGTATCAGAATGGATGTAAGTCACAATGATTTATGTGTGGCACCGAATGATTATTAGCCTTGACCATTTTTATGATACACATTCTAAAATATTTCTTAAAAAATATCTATTAATTGGTCTGTCTGGTTTGAGTGCTAAATGTGTAACCAACTACGAAACAGTTCATTAAAACTTCCTGTCTTACTGCTTCAGCATTGTTGTCAGGTTACTCTTTATTCTATGTCTCTACTTATTCTATGAATCAGCTGCCTTTAATACAGGTGACTTGTTCGTTTATGGTCACATATATTCTCACACACCATCTTCCAATTTTGAATAGTTTGTCAAGAGGTGGCGTCTTTTAAATAAAGAAAAATTTATAGGAAGCAAGAAAAAATAAAATCCTACTTTCTTCTCAAAATTTCGATTCCTTCTTTTTGAAGTTATACATCTCAGGGAACCAGGTATTTATTTTCATTTGAGAAGATGGCCTCTTATGCTTTCCTTTCACTTATTATGTTGTTTTATTTTCCAAAAGTTCAACTACTGCACCTATGAGAGCCTATGCAAATCTATTCTTTCATATCATATTTTTTTATCATAATATTGAAATGTCAGTTGACAACATTTAGTTTGAAGATGACACATCAAGTCCTTTCTTGATGCATTCAGATATGGATTGGTAATATTATTTATTGTTGTAGAACATGAAAACTAAAAGGCTTAAAGCATCAATATTTATGGTATCATCGTTTACTAGTGGTTTAGAACCTAGGCATGCTTCAGGAACATGAGCATGCTTCAGATAGGTGACTCAATCATTTCATCAAAAATTCAGAGACGGGAGTTCAGGTAAGCCTGCTCAGAGGTGGGGGTATCTGAATCTCCCAGCCACATAGCTGTGGCTGGTCCAGGCTTCTTGCTGGGGATCCTAGATCCCTGTGTACCACTGCGAAGAGGTGGGCAAATCCTGGGCTTGTGCAAGCCCAAGGTTCGAGAATTTCCTCTGCTCATGACAATCATGCTGTAGGTAGATCTCAGATGGCTCTAGGCATGCTCAGGATCATGGTTCTGCCCACTGCCACCATGTTGGTGAGCAGAATCCAGGTAAGTTTGCTCAGAGGTGTGGGTGTCTGGCTCTCCCAGCCAGGTAACTGTGGCTGGGAGAATCCAGGCTGGATTCTGGACAGGTTTCCTGCTGGGGGTCTTAGCTTCCTGTCCGCCGCTGCCAAGTGGTGGGTGAATCCTGGGCTTACAGGGAGCTACAATGGAGCTGGGCATCACCTGCTGGCCACCTGGAGGTGAGCCCTGGGTTCTTAGGGGTCTGGAATTATTGCTTATGGACATCCATTGATAAGGACACAATATGTGTAGGTGAGGAATGAATCTTGAGAGACACTCAGTGACGGGGCCACTGTACTTGGAGGTAAGCGAGGGCACTGAGATCTGGTGGTTTGGAAGGGAGAAATTAGAAGATCTGTAAGGGTCAGACTCATGCACCAGCCCACATAGGAATCCAGAGTTGAGCTTGTTAGCATGGAACATTGCTGACCACCACATGTCAGTCCATGCAAAAGCAAGGGCTGGGGGCCTGTCTAGCAGGACTAGATCCCAGTACCTGACTGAATGTTGGTCACATTAGACACTAACCAGTACGTGAGAGAACCAGGTATGGTGGTAGATTCTGTCAGGGGTATGTGGGCCAAACCCTGTGCAAATGCCAAATCCACTGGTTAGCTCAAAAGCTGGGGTGGGTATGAGCTGAGCTAGGTGTGACCATGGAACCTGCCAACACTCACAGGTACAGGGACTGGTCAGGTCTAGGCTATAAGCATCCACATGTGCATCCTGAAGCAGGGTGTGGGGTGGGCCAGGCAGCAACATTCACCAACTCATAATAGGCCAAGATGAAGGAGCAGGTTATGCTGGGCAAGGGCTTAGCATCCACTGGCATGCATGAGATCTGGATCTGGGAGTAGGCCGAGTGGACAGAACAAACTGATCAACTATCCCAGCCATGGGTTGGTAGTGAATAACTGGGCAAACTGAAACTCTAAGGTGGACTATGTCAGGCACATTATGCTTGGACTGGTGAGATCAGCTGTAATTCAGAACTGTTGAACTTTTGAAACCTCTTGAGCAGGACCCTTACAGCATGCCCTACATCAGGACCCCTGGGGTGGTGTTGGGTGCTTGTCCTCCAACCCAGGGTACAGAAGCATTTGGGAGGCTGGGTGTGGCTTCTCTCCTTGTCTCTCCCTTCCCCTAGATTCAAGAAGGAAAAACAGAGAACGTAGAAATGGTGATCTCACCCACCTTCCTGAAGCCCTTGGCCCTAATTTCCCTAATCAATTATGTAAAAATCATCAAAAATAAAAAATGATTAATAATTTTAAAAACTCAAGAGAGGAGCATGCTTCAAGTCTTTATTGGCTGTTGACTGAATGTAGCACTTCGTGCCCTCACAGTCTCTTCATATATTGCTTACAACTTGGCAGT